ACCAAAGACAGTAACAACAAGTGATAATGATAATAATAATAATGATGATGATGATGATGATGATGATGATGATGATGATGATGATAATAATGATAATAATAATAATAATAATAATAATAATAATAATAATAATAATAATGAGAAGGATAAGGATAATAATATTAATTATTATAGCAATGATAATAATGATAAAGAATGATAATGATAATGATGATAATAATGATAATGATAATGATGATAGTAATGATAATAATAATGATAAAATGGATAATAATAATGGTATGAATAATAATAATTATGATAATAATGCTACTACTACTACTTCTACTACTATTACTACTATTGCTGCTGCTAACTACCGCTAATAAAGAAAATAATAATAGTAATGATAATGTAGATAATAATAAAGATATTCACGATAGAAATGATGATAATAATAAAAATACTCATGATAATAATGATAATAATAATAATGATAATAATAATAGTAATAATAATAAAAACAATAACAGTAGCAGTAGCAATAATATCATGATAAGGATAATGATAGCAATAGTAATTATGTTTTTGATTATCATGTTGATGATAACATAATATTATTTGTTGATTTTTGCCAGCATGAAAGTTCACACGTATCTGCGTGCATTTCCTTCTCTGCAATGTCGCATAAATATGCATCGCTATCCTTGTATTTATAGCGTTTGTAATCCGAATGATAGAGAATATATTTTTATTTATCTTAGTTGTAACAACGTTTTAGTGTCAGGATGGAACAAAAGAATTAATTTTAAAATGATTTCTTGGTGTATTACAAAAGTAATTTCTCAAACCGATCTAGGATAGATGTGTTTATAAAATGAACATGGTTGTTTGGTATATATACATACATAAATATATATGTATGTATATATATATATATATATATATATATATATATATATATATATATATATACATATATATACATATATATACATATATATATATATATATATATATATATATATATATATATATATATATATACTATATATATATATATGTATATATATATATATATATATATATATATATATATATATATATATATATATACTATATATATATATATATGTATATATATATATATACATATATATATATATATATATATATATATATATATATATATATATATGTATATATATGTATATATATATATATATATATATATATATATATATATATATATATACTATATATATATATATGTATATATATATATATATATATATATATATATATATATATATATATGTATATATATATATATATATATATATATATATATATATATATATATATATATATATATATGTAAATACGTGTATGTGTGTGTGTGTGTGTGTGTGTGTGTGTGTGTGTGTGTGTGTGTGTGTGTGTGTGTGTGTGTGTGTGTGTGTGTGTGTGTGTGTGTGTGTGTGTGTGTTTCTGTCTATATTTGCATCTACATCTGTCTACCTAGCTACCTATATATCTATCCGACTAACTAAATATCATGATTCTATAGATGAAGAAACGGCACCATTCAACTGCATTATATGAAGTAAGTGAACTAAAAAAAAATTCAACATCGCTGAAAATAATGTTTAACCTTAGATGTATTACTGGCTTCTATCATTCGTCCCTGAATATGTATATCTTGCAACAGAGTCAGGAAAGGATATTAGAGATGATAATGATGATGATGATGTTGACAAAGAGGACAGCATGAAATTAGCAAATTTTGTGGAAGATGGTGTTTATTTTATCCTTTATATGTACAAATTTCGCCGAATGTCGAGGAAGGTGAAGCTCATTCAGTCTGTCTGGTCAGTCTCGCGCTGATGGAGTCGCCGATTTTCGCCAGACGTGTTAAATCTTCAGCATTATTAGAACGAGAGGGATTCTTTCTTTGTGCCTTTCTACGGTCTTCCTCGAAGGCGTTTCGTACGAGAAGCGTTCGGGGAGATAATTTGACGAGTTACTGCCAAGTCGTGTGATATTCGCAATAATTGAATAATTGGCAGCCTTTTCCCGCTGCTGTGAAGATGCATCTGAGCGCCTGTGCGGGAGGGTTGCCAGGCGGCGGCCGAAGGAACTCTTTTGCTCTTATTAGTTGGTCCTAACGATGTTTTGCCCTTGCGTTATGCACAACGAGGGAAGTGCAAAATGAAGGGTTTCACAGCGGAAAATCTGGAATTCCAGAAAGCTTTTATTATGCCGACCGTTGGGAGAGTCTTGGAGAATGACAAAGGTCCTGGAAAAATTCGCTTCTGCAGTTTTGCTGCTCAATAATCCGACAAAAGAATAAACCAGACGATGATTATAGCACAGAAAGCAACACCAAATGTCCATGAAACATAATCGGATGACCCAAGGACCGGGGATTAATCACAAGAATATAAGAAAGTTAGCAACCTCTCGGAGCCGGGCTAAGGGCGGGGGGAAACAGCTGAGCGGCTCCAGTGTGCATCAGCTGGTGGTGAAGTGGAGGTGTGACGCTCCTGTCGCCTGGAAACTCCTCTCTTCGTGTTTGGTTCTTTGTTATTGTTCCATAGATCTGTGGTGTATCGCCTGTCCCGTCGCAATACTTTTACGGATTACTGCTGCCGTTGTCCAAAGGTGAGTCGCGGGTATCGCCCCATGCATATTTATACCATTAAAGTGGCCTTAGGCTCTGACTGCAGCGACCGGTGACCGCATCTGAGCCAGTTGACAGAAGGACAGGAGGGAGAACGAAAAGGAGCATCGGTGTATCCTTCGCGAAACCCGACGACTACGACAGCCTCGACGAAATCCGTGGAAGTGGATTAAAGGATCAACCTCCACGCATGATCCAGACACGAGCCGTATTTCTGAGTCGAATCCAGCGCACCCTCCTTCTGCCTGCTCGTGCTTGACTACGAAGCTGGGATGTTCTGGCCTCGACAATCAATACTCCAGCAGGACATTCGGTCAAGCAGGGGCCGTGGCAAGCGCTGAGGGCCACCCTGCACGCCCCTGGCACGCTTTTCTCTCTCTCTCTCTTGTTGGGCAGGAGACGCAAGCAGGAGAAACGAAAAGGGTAGATGAGAAAGAGGGAGAAGAACTGTGGTGGGAGTGGGCGAGGGATAAATATATAAACATACTGGCATGTGTTTGTGTTTAAAGTACGCTGACGTTCCCGGGGAAATTCACACACATATATGTACTTGCAGATAGCTAGGATATGAACGTGTAAGAGGGTGAAGTATAAAGATAGCTTGGGGTATAGGTATAGATAGATATAGTGGGTACGTATACTGATAGATGGGTATATAAAGTAGTTTATAACGTTTTATTAATGTATATATTCAGAATGTCATACTCAGTATTAGAAACCGATATTTACCAATAAAATTGACCACAAACTCATGGTGAAATATACACCTTGGTAATATTGTAGGCCTATATTTGTGCAAGGCTATAGCGTATGATTAGGTATGTGTATTTATGTAGATGGGCGAATAAGCAATTAGACATTTATATGTACACATTAATATGTAAACCTCGACGTGCACATTCATACACCCAAAAGGGCTTATTGTAAACAGAATTTCTCTCTCTCTCTCTCTCTCTCTCTCTCTCTCTGTCTCTGTCTCTGTCTCTCTGTCTCTCTGTCTCTCTCTCTCTCTCTCTCTCTCTCTCTCTCTCTCTCTCTCTCTCTCTCTCTCTCTCTCTCTCTCTCTGTCTCTCTCTGTCTCTCTCTGTCTCTCTCTCTCTCTCTCTCTCTCTCTCTCTCTCTCTCTCTCTCTCTCTCTCTCTCTCTCTCTCTCTCTCTCTCTCTCTCTCTCTCTCTCTCCCCCTCCCTCCCTCCCTCCCTCCCTCTCTCTCTCTCTCTCTCTCTCTCTCTCTCTCTCTCTCTCTCTCTCTCTCTCTCTCTCTCTCTCTCTCTCTCTCTCTCTCTCTCCCCTCTCTTCCTCACTCATTCACTCACTCACTCACTCTCACTCACTCACTCTCACCCACTCACACCCTCACTCACCCACTCATCCACCCACCCACTTTTTCATTCACTCACCCACTCACTCACCCACTCATCCACCCACTCACTCACCCACCCACTCACCCACCCACTCACCCACCCACCCACCCACCCACCCACCCACCCACCCACTCACCCACTCACTCACCCACTCATCTCCACCCACTCACTCACCCACCCACTCACCCACCCACTCACCTACCCACCCACTCATCCACCCACTCACCCACCCACTCACCCACCCACTCACTCACCCACTCACTCACCCACTCACTCACCCACCCACTCATCCACCCATTCATCCACCCATTCACCCACCCACTCACTCACTCACTCTTAGACACCCGCACACAAATCCCTTCTCCGCTTTTGTCAACATGCCGATCGTCAACATAACTTGCACATTGCAGACTTTGCAGAAAACTAATTCTCAATGCTCACCGTGAATCGTCTTCATTGCAAAATCAACATGTCAAGCAATGAGAGAAAGTGATTGCGGACGATTTGCCAATTCACTCTGGCGAGGGAATGAAGTATTGACTTTTTTGTTTTTGAAAGAAGAAAAAGACAAAACAATAAAAGAAAGAAAAGAAAGAAAAAAGAAAGAAAGTGTTATCTTCTTGCTGGAAACTCATAATTTAGAACGATTGATATATACATGTTTTTTTTGTTTGTTTTTTTTTTGTATTTTTTTGTATTTTTTTTTTTTTGTATTTTTTTTATAATATTATTCTTTCTTTTGAAGATCAAAGTGGATAATTGTGTGGTATGTCTGTGCCAGGGGTGGAGGGAGGTGAGGGGGAGGGAGGGTGTGGAGGGGGGGAGGGGGGAAGGGAAGGGGAGGGATGCGTGTGGTGACTGAGTTAGATATTTTGAATGTGGTGGTGTTGGGTTACTGCTGTGGTGGTGACGTTGTTTATGTGGTGGTGGTGATGGTAGTAATGTTGTTCATTGTTGCTGTTGTTGTTTGGTGTTG